GATCCACCACTAAGGAATACAGTTTCGGTTCCGGCAGAGGGATGGGCAGTCATTAGATTTGTTGCTGATAATACAGGTAAATATAAGACGTTCTTCTCTTAATGAATCATCCTTGTGTTTGAAATTGAACTGTTTTGGTAAACAGTTGTGTGGATAATTTCATTATTCATTCGATTCATCCTTTATTTTAAATATATTTTTTTATCAAATTTAAAGCACATACTTCTAAACCATCAAAGAATACATATGTAATTTTAATTTCTCTTTTTGATAATAAATTTTTTATTTTTTTTAATTTAGTCCCTCAATTTTTTATAATGTTCTTATTTCTTGAATTCGTCCTTTATTTTAAATCCGTTTTTACTAAATTTGAACCACATGTTCATATACCACAATAGAATACCTATGTAACTTCAATTATTACTTTTTTTACTAAAAATAAAATATTTTACTCAGTTTGGCCTTTTGACTACAATTGTTTGCAAATTCTTTCTTCCCATCAATTCCTTTACTCCTTCATACTCTCATTAATATTTTACACTCGAAATATTTTCTTTAAAATATAATATTATGAATATATTTCATAATTTTAGATTGTATTTGATATATTAAATAACATTTTAATGTGAAAAAAATAAAATATTTATATCTTATATGGTTAGAGAAAGTAAAATAATTAGAATAAATCATTGACATAATACTATAAATAATTATAATAAAATTTGTATAGAAACTCGAATAACTCGAATCGACTCAAAAAAATTTCAAGTTAAGTTCGAGTTGTAAAATACGACTCGTTAACTTGAATAACTTGAGAATTTTTAACTCGACTCGATCGAATACTCACCTATACCAATGAGGATATTATACCGAAATATATATATATATATATATTGAATTTATTTAAATGATAATTTATTATAAATTAATTTATTTAATATAGTCAAATGATAGTGTCTATCATATTTTTAATCTAGATAAAGGTTATATATAATTTATGAATAAAATTATTAATGGATTATTCTATTTAAATAAATTAATATAGCGTTGATATTGAATTGTGGGATGACTAAGCCCTCTTACCTCTAGTTACAAATTTACAATTTGGAATGGAGGATTAACTCATTCCAATGGTGCTTGAGTTTGATGCTTAATTAATTTTTAGTTACTTTGGTATGATTTGAGTAGTTCCTATATTCCCGTGGTTTTATCCCAGTTTGTTTCAAAACCAGCGATAGTAATAGGATGAAATTAATAATATTTAAAATGAAAAATAATATATTGAATTTTAAAAATTATAATCTCGAATCTTGATATTATAAGAAATATTAATTTAATTATTATATCTACAAATACCATCTCCTACTAGAAATTTATTTCTTTAATTTTAAAATAAAGCATTTTAAATTTCAAATGAACCCTACTGGAAAAAAAGTGAATAAGGATATCTTTGGTTCTAAAAAATATCTTTTATTTTTTATTTTAGAAAATATTTTTAATTTTCAAAAATTTTAAATTAAAAAAAAATATGTTTAATTAATATAAATGAAAACTTGAATCCAAAAATAAAATATTAAAAATATATTTAGTATCAAATTTTAAAATTATAAATGAATAAATAGTTATTAAAAATTAAATTAAATTATAATTATTAAAAAATGTTATTATATTTGTACCAAAAAATTCATTACATTATTCTAACATGTCAGTTATGTAAATATAAAACGATAAAGTTGATAAGAAATTTCATAACATAAACTTTAAATTAATTTATAATAAAATATAATGTTATTGTATATCGGACATCAATTAAATTTTAAAAATACATAAAAATATTGATATAAGCAAAAAACACACAAGAGTGTAAGTAGAATAAAAATATGTTTAATGAAAATTAAGACCCTCAAACTTTTAGAAAAAAAAAATAGGATAGTCCCTGAACCTTTTATTGCACTAAAAATTAATCTAACATTTTGAAGAACAAAAGTAAACATTGATTATCAAATTGCTTGTATGACATTTCATAAACTTTTATATATATATATATATATATATATATATATATATAAGTATACAATATTGATGTGACATTTTACGATATTATTGTGATAGTATACGATGGACAATGATATGGTAGATGAATTTAATGATTATTTGGCTTAGTTTGATGGCGTAATTGATTATTTTAAAAAGTCTGATGACTTATTTATTTTTACATAGAAAAAAATGAGATTAAAAAATGGGTAAACTACATGATTGATCACTTTCTTTTTAGTTTTTATACTTTTTCACTATAGTCAAAAAATATAATATTTGGTCACTTTCGTTTTTTTATTTAAGAAGTTGTCACTTTTGTTTAGTTTATCACTAAAAATCTTTAAAAAATCAATGGCTAGATATTTAAAAATCGATAAGGTAAATAATTATATTTTAATTAAATAAAAATGAACATAACCATATCTTAATAAAAATAATCAAATATTATATTTTTTTTAAATTCAATGAAGAAATATATATAAATTTAAACGAAAGTAACCAACGTTTTATATTAGCTTTAAAAGTATTTAGGGTGAGCTTGGATCTCGAAATCTGAAATTACTAAAGGGAATATTTTTTTCAGAATTGTATTCCCGCGTTTGGTTCACGAAATCTTACATTACGGGAATACTACATTACCAATAGTAGCATTTTTTTATTAAAATGGTGGGAATGTCATTACCTCCAAATTCTTAGGTAATTTTACATTCCCACTACTTTGGACAAGAATACCCTTGGATTAATAAATTCTTTTTATAACGATATTTCTAAATTCTTATTTTTTATACTTTACTCAAAATTATAAAAATAATAATAATATAAAAAGATTTTGATTTACTAAAATATCAATAATTTTTGTGAATTTAAAATATTTTTATATTTTTAATATTCAATATTTTACTATTTATAATTTTATGGAATGAAAAAAATAATATTATTGTAAAAATGTAATTATTTAAAATAATATTTCACTACCATAATATTATTTTTATATTATATTATATTTTATATAAATAAATATGATATATTATTTAAAATATAAATTTAATATACTAATTATATTAATTATATATTAAATGAAAATTTTCCTCAAAAGTTAAATAATATAACAATTAAAATATTTTTATGAATTTTCATTCAAATATTTATAAATTAATATTAAAGTTTAACTTTAAAAAAATATATTACAAGAATAATTTAATAAAATATACATCCAAATAATTTTATATTTCTCTAACCAAATATTATAATCTTATATCTATGCTAAATAAACCAATACAATACTTTTGCATTGAAAGTGTAAGCACAAAATGAAATATATATTTTTGATAAAAAAAGTACCAAGTTGTCCGAAATTGTGGAATCCAAGACCACGGGAATCATTTTCATTTCAAAAGTTGTACCAGTCAAATAAATGATACAAACTTGGCTTTTTCTTCCGCTTTGTGCCTTCTCTCGGAGGAGTAGACGACTAGGGAAATTATACGTACAACAATCTTAATATATAATTAAGAAATAATATTATTAATTTTATTATTATTTTTTAATAAAATTAATAAAAAAATATCATAAATATTATTATTTTTACTGATTTTATTATTTTTAGATGTTTTATCGATTTTGTTAATATATCCGATAAAATGCTACTAATTTTATTATTTTTTCTACCAGTTTTATTATTATTTGATATTTTACCGGAAATATTAAAAATATTAATGTTTTAAGTAAAAATAATAAATTTTTAAATAATTTTTTTACCAATTTTATTAAAAAAATAATAATAAAACTAATAATATTTTTTCTTAATTATATATTAAAATTGTCGTAAAGGTATAACTTTACAAAGTTACTTACACGTATATACAAATGAATTTTTACTTTTTTCAGGATATGGTTCATTGTAAGAAATTATTCTTCCTACTTTAATACTAAATGAAAATCATTAATTTAATTATTACTTAATGTGGGGCTGAATAGATAGCTTACCTGCATGCTTTTATAGATAATTGCGTCGGTTCAAAGATGCGTGAACTAGCTAGCTAATAAACCGTACATGGATGAGATGAGGTCTTGATGTCGAATTCCATATTGAATTATGCATGCCAATATATAATCCACACCCACACACCATATAATATATTATATTGCAAATTACTACATATATCTTCAGCTCCAATCTTAATATATTTATAATAATATTTTTATATATAAAAGAGACGGCTAAACTCACGATATAATACACTCAAAATAAATAATTCACGATCTAATGCACTCCTTATATTATTTGCTGAAATAGGGCGAAATCAACAGTGTGGCCGTAGGTCGCCATGCCTTCCGGGCGACCTACTAGGTCACCATGTCTTCCTGGTCCGAGGCCATCCGATCGAGGCCATCCGAGAGCATCCGAGGCCATCCGAGAGCATCCGAGGCCATCCGAACTAGCTATGCGAGGGCATCCGAGGGTAAACGAGCGAGCTATGCGAGGGAATCCGAGGGAAGCTGAGCGAGGGTAGGTCGCCCGGAGGGCATGGCGACCTACAAGGTCGCCCGGAGGGCATGACGACCTATGTGTTGGGACGTGCATGTGCCATGTAACACGTTCATTCTCACGTTCATTCTCTCTGTTTGAGCAAGGGTAGGTCGCCCGGAGTGCATGACGACCTACGACCAACACTGTGAATTTCACCTTATTTGAGCAATTAATCTTGAGAGTGCATTAACTCGTGAATTAATTTCTTTCATAACATTATCTCGAAAATTTTGTCAAAAAATACTATCCAAACTGCACTGTGTCAATGAAAGACATATTAATAATAAGTATTTACGACCTAATAAAGCTCATAATTCACACCTATTAAAGGAAAAATAATAATTCAGAAAATGTCAGTCTTGTACTATAAAAAATAGTAATATATATACATATATTAAATAAAGTCCAAAAAGAGAAGCTGCAACTAGGTGAACCACTTGCAGCGTAATCTCTTCCTTTTTTCTTCTTGTTACAACTCCAACTCTTCCCAAACAAATCCTTCAAACTATTTCAAGCAGATCTGTTTCTTCTTTTGATCTTATAATTATTTCTCCTTTATATAATCAACTTTCCCTAGCGTTTATGTACCGCATTTATCGTATTTGAAGCCATGCCTTCTTCACTGCAGCTCCATCCACCCCTTGCCGCCACCATCGCCGGCTGCCGCCAGAAACAAACTCATCAACAACCTACCACCGCCGCCACGTTGAATAGGTTTTTCCCTCTTCCTTGCTGGATCTCGCTGCCCGACACGGTGGCGACATACCATATCCGCACCCTGGGGCCTAACCAATGTTGTTCGGCGGTTGTCCAAGCCATCGAAGCCCCTATTGAAACCGTTTGGTCAATAGTTCGTCGGTTTGATAACCCTCAAGCTTATAAGCAATTCCTCAAGAGCTGCCAAGTTATCGTCGGAGATGGCAACAACGTGGGTTCCCTCCGTGAGGTCCATGTGGTGTCCGGCCTCCCGGCGGCATCCAGCATGGAGAAGCTAGAGATCCTAGACGATGAACGCCATGTGCTTAGCTTTAGCATAGTTGGAGGTGATCATCGGTTGACCAATTACAAGTCTGTCACAACCCTACACGGTTCACCCGACGGTAACGGGACAGTGGTCTTCGAATCTTACGTTGTTGATATACCTGCCGGTAACGATAGAGAAGATACATGCAGTTTTGTGGATACAATTGTACGCTGCAACCTTCAATCTTTGGCTCGAGTGTCTGAAAATATAGCTAGAACAGAAGCATTACCAGCTCCATAATTACTTCAAAAAAAAGGGGTCTTGCTGACGATGAAGGTGACGGTACATCAGTGGCTCCAAATGTTAAGTATGTCTTCTTTTCTTTTTATCTTTTTTTTTAATTTCTGGCTCATTTCTTCGCCATTTTTCTGTTCATTTCTCTCTATGTATATGAGAAACATTTGCTTACAATTATTAGCAACTTCAATAATTTTATTGTTTGTGTTGTGTTTGTATGTATACGAGATACAGATTTTTCTTTTATCTGGGTAATAACAATACCCTTGATATTAAAGGCTTACCCCCGGTACTCGAATTTAAGCCCTCAATAAATAACAATAATTTTTTTTATGGAGATCACTTTGATTCGAGCCGATACAAAAGTTATGATTTACTTAAATAACACTTTTATATCCATCTATATTTATTCTCTGAGCAAACAAGATTAAATTTGAAGCCCACACAAGAAAAAAGCAAATAAAAACTCCTTTTCATACAATACATTTCAAAGAAAAATTAATAATAAAATATTTTTTATAAAATCATTCAAATAACAAATGTCGAATCTCTCATTTTAAAGTGCAAAAAGAGTGCAGGAGTAAATTTGATTAACCATGTAACTAATATATGCTCCCTGATTTTTAATTTGCTAAGTTGATGCAGCAGACAATGCAAGTGGATATAAATTTGCCAGTGGTTTTAGAGAAGATGATGCAAGTTGTATGGCAACTTGGTACGGAGGCTTTTAATGTTCAACATTATATTAGTGGTCTATGTAACAAATTAATTAAAACCCCACCCATTTTAATTCTTTTGACTCTCTACCGCTCAAACCTTAATTTAGTCTATTATTTAATTTTTAATTAAGGTCACTTCTTATTATTTAATTATTTATCACTACAACTGAACACGATTTGAAGATAATCAGGAAAATTCTTATAAAACATATTGAGACGTTAAATGTGATTGTTAAAGTGTTATTTTAGATGAAAACCGTGGTATAATTTTGGTAAACAAATCATATATTTTTTTATTAATTCGAGGTAAATATAAGATATTATCTGTTTAAAAATGACTAACTTTTTTACATGGAAGACTCAAACCTCTAATATTCATAATACTCAAATCTGAATTCTCAAAGAATCCGTAATCAGATGATTCTTATATATGGGGAGTAAAGTTAGCAAACCTTTTCCCCTTACCTTTCAATTAGATGTATTGTTGCAATCCGTCAGAGGAATCCAAGGTTGATTATAAAACACTGTTTTATTAGATTATATTATAACCCCGTTACAATGTTAAAGGTAGATTAATAAAAAAATTAATGTATAAAATTTAGTTAATAAATTGAATTTTTTTTAAATTAAGTGATCAAAATAAGAGTAAAATAATTACATAATAATTTGTGTACCTCAAGTCTTTACCCCATATTAAAATACGCATAAAAACAACACAAATATAATATAGATATATGAATATATAAAGATATATATAATATTAATAATATATAGATACCTATAAAATAATTTGAACATATAAATATATAATGAGTAAAATACATAAATGATTTTTCAATTATAAGGTGTTGTTTTGTTAAATCTTCGATTACTAAAAGTTATAAAATAATTTTCTAATTACATGTCATTATTTTATTGAATTCTCAAATTATTAAAAGTTATAAAATGATCACCTGGTTTTTCTTACATTCTCAATTTGTCCTTTTTCGTTAAGAAATTAGTGGCTATCTGAATTAGATGTTAACCTATTAATTGGAAATATGTTAAAATTTGATCATAGAATCACTTAAGCTATATTTTAGGGATCAACTCTCCATTTATATTATGTCATCGAGCAAGTACTTGAAACATTATATAATCGAGCATGTGTTTGAAAGAAACGACGGTGCCAGTAGACACCACAAAAATATTATCTTATCATATTTCAATTAGCATGTTAATGTAAAACTCATACAATTCTCAATTTTTTAACAAAAAAAGATGAGTTTAGAACATATACTTGAGGGTTTATTTTATAATTTTTAATAATTGGAGAACTCGGTAAAATAAAACCTTATACTTGAGGGGCTGTGTATGTACTTTACCCATATATAATTTGATATATCCAAATCAACATCCAGGGACGAGCCGCCCACCTGTATGCCACGGATATTATTAAATGAAAAACCCTCATTGATTATTTTTTTAAAATAGTCTTCATGTCAGATTAGTTAAAAAATAACTCTTAAATTATTTACGTATAAAATTTCGTGTTCTGTCAAAAGTAAAGTCAGATCTTATATTTTACGAAAAATGAGTTTTATATATTTATTATTGTTTTTATCCAATATTAAATGATTTTATCTTTAAAAGTTGATGGGTCTCACGTCTTATAAAACGTGAGATCCATTAAATTTGTTTTATAGAAAGTGAGATAGTCTTCCGTGAATTATTTAGGGTTATTTTCCTAACTAATCTGACACAGTTGTTGTTTTTAAAAAGGAGTAAAATATATAAATGGTCATTGAACTTTTTAGACGTTGGCATTTAGGTCTCATAACTTTTAAAACTTATAATACAGTCACCAAACATTTAGTTCGTTTGCAATATGGTCTCTGACGTAACGACCGTTTCACTACCGTTAGGGTATATTAAATAAATGGTTACTGAACTTTTCAGGCGCTTGCATTTAGGTCCCCTAACTTTTAAAACTTGCAACACAATCATCAATTGCATTTTAAACCCCATATTCCAAAATACTTCAATAACATTCTAAACCTTAAATTCCAAAAATACTTCAATTACATGCCCAACCCCAAATTCATAATTCATTCTCAAAATCTACCATACCAAATGAAACTTGAAGCAATAACCCTAAACCCTCAAAACATAACCCTAAACGCTAAATTTCCCCACCAATTAACCCAACATAATCAACAACATTTAGTTCATTTTGAGTCCATAACAATAAGTGATTATGTTGGGTTTAGGATTTAAAAGTTAGATTTAACCAACTATAAATGAACAATCCTCAATTCGATTCGAAAAAATTATTTTTTGACTTGAATTGATTCAAAAAATTTGATACAAATTGACTTTGAGTTTTAATTTCATAAACTCAACTTAAAAAAATTTCAAGTTAAAATCGAATTGTAAAATACAACTCGAATATCTCAAAATTTTTAGTAATTAGTGGATTAATTTTTAAGTTTGAGTCAAATCCCTTGACTTTGTATGATGTATATCATATATGGAAAAAATATGAAGAAATATATGTATTGTAAATGGTTAAAAATTATTTAAATTAGAATCAAATAATATTATAGTATTATAAATATTTATAATTAATTTAAACAGAAACTCGAAAATTCAATTCAATTCGACTTGATTTAAATTTTATAAACTCAAATTTTAAAAATTTCGAGTAAACTATTTTATAAACTGAACTGAATTAAAATCAAATAATATTATAATATGATAAATATTTATAATTAAATTTAAACAGAAACTTAAAAATTCAATTCAACTTAATTTACATTTTATAAACTCAAATCGAAAAAATTTCAAGTCAACTATTTTGTAAACTGAATTGAGTATTTATGTCCAGCATAACCCTAAACCCAACATAATCGCTTATAATTGGTTAAATTTTTTCGAAACGGTTATGTTTTGAGGGTTTAAGGTTACTGCTTCAAGTTCAGTTTGTTATGATAGATTTTGAAAATGGATTATGAATTTGGGGTTGAGTATGTAATTAAAGTATTTAGGAATTTGAGGTTTAAAATGTAATTAAAGTATTTTGGATTTTGGGGTTTAAAATGTAATTGATGATTGTGTTGTAAGTTTTAAAGTTGGGAGGACCTAAATGAAAGCGACTGAAAAGTTCAATGACCATTTATATAATTTATCCTAACGGCAGTGAAACGGTCTTTACGTCGGGACCATATTGCAAACAAACTAAATGTTTGGTGACTTTATTGCAAGTTTTAAAAGTTTATGGATCTAAATGTAAGTATCTGAAAAGTTTAGTGACCATTTGTATACTTTACCCAAAAAATAATTAACGAGGTTTTCATTTAATAATGCCCATGCCACGCTCCCCCACTCATCTGGACCGTACACGTTTCATCCCTCTCCCAGTTCTTATTTTCACTCTCTCCTACTCCTTCGACCCTCCACTGTTTGCAGATCTCTCGATTCCCATTTTCGTCAAAACTCAAAAGTTTCGGGTTTTTCTGAGCCATGTTGCTGAAAGCTGCTCCAGCATTTTCTTTGTTAAATCCTCAAGAGGGTCCACTGTTTTCCTCTCTTTCTTCATCTCAAGCCTCTCTTTTCCATTCCTTTTCTTCTTCGATTCATCGGCTTTCTTCTCCAGGAAATGGAATTGGGTATGTCGTAGTTTGTGCAACCAAAGGGGCCAACCACAAGCCGCTCACTGGTGTTGTTTTCGAACCCTTCAAGGAAGTGAAGAAGGAGCTTGATCTTGTACCCACCGCCCCTCAAGTTTCTCTGGCTCGCCAAAAGTTCACCGATGACTGTGAAGCTTCAATCAACGAAAAAATCAAGTGGGTCTTTCTTTTATAGTTTCTAAAGCCAACTCTGTATTTGGAAAAAAATGTATTTTCTGATGGTATCAGTTTTGAAATTCTTTGAAAACATACTTATTTTATTCTCTGACCTGCAAATTTGTGTGAGAAAAAATAGATTTTGTCTTCTTACTAATGTATAAAAACAATTCAATTCTTTTCTTTTGAAAAATAATTTTTGAATGATTTCCTGGATGTGTTGATTTGATTTTCTTTGTAAAGATGAATTTTGGCTTATTCTGATGGCTTTGGTGTGTATACGCTTTCTAATGTTTTGTGCATTTCTTTTGGAATGACAGTGTGGAATACAATGTTTCGTATGTATATCATGCTATGTTCGCCTACTTCGATAGGGACAACGTTGCACTCAAGGGTCTTGCCAAGTACTTCTTCTTGAAAAAGTTGAGTTTGTTGAGTATTTTTGGAACCCTCTTTTATGAGCTAACGTCAGACTTCCCCTTGCGAATAGGTTCTTCAAGGAATTGAGTTTAGAAGAAAGAGAGCATGCAGAGAAATTGATGGAATACCAGGTTCTTTTATCCATGGACTCACTTTCTTATTGTTGCTGTTCTTTTGTTATGCCATTGTTTCCTGATTTGGGTTGTTTATTATTTATCAGAATAAACGAGGTGGAAAAGTGAAGCTGCAGCCCATATTGATGCCCCTCTCTGAGTTTGATCATGCAGATAAAGGAGATGCATTTTATGGTAAGTTGATATTATTAGAGCCTGAGGCTTGTTTAGTAAAATGTACTTTGTATCTTATTCGGTTGCCTTCTTTTTCTACCGTCAGGTAAAATACATCCACATGAAAAATACAATGAGATATAGGTTAGATTCACGTTGTAGCTATGAAGTATGTTTGTAAATTGTATGCTTGGTGTGTTCGTAGTCCTTTATAAGGAATCTAGCCAAGGAAGAGATATTTCTTGAACATTCACTTTCTAACGTCCTGGAGCATTTTTAAATTTGTTATGTGATCATCCCATTATATTTCTTAATGTCGAACCGGATCGCATGATAATGTCATATTAGTCAAAAGTAGTAAAAATATACTTTAGATGTTAGCATATCATATGCGAATGAAGCCGATTGTGTTTAGTTCTTTGGTTCAGCAATGGAGCTTGCCTTGTCCCTGGAGAAACTAAAAAATGAAAAGCTCTTGAACCTGCATAGTGTAAGACTCTCTCTCTCAATCTCGATATATATATATATATATATATAATTCTTTTCTATCTTGTTCTCTGCATGTAGTTGTGAATTTTGATTTTAAAAGTGATAATAAGGTGATAGCACACATTTTTTTAACTAATATTTCAGGTTTTTATAAATAGGTAACTGTGCTGAACCATGACGTGCAGTTGACAGAATTTATCGAACGGGAATACTTAGCTGAGCAGGTATAATACAATTTTGGTGTCTATAAAATTTATTTTTACTAATGAATACTGAAATCAGGGATTTTGATTCCGTCGTGCTCTCTCTTTATAGGTGGAGGCCATCAAGAAAATATCAGAATATGTGGCTCAGTTAAGAAGAGTTGGAAAAGGACATGGTAAGAGTCTAAACTTCTTTGGTCTTTTTTTTTTTGCCTGAAAGCTGCTATTAACTCTAAATCCCCATGATTTCATCTTGTTCATCTATTTTTGTGCCTGATATGTGTGTCCTGTGTTTATTCAGGGGTGTGGAAGCTATTGCATGAGCAAGCTCCATTCCATATCAGAAGTTGTTTCTTTAAGGTGTTTGTTGAGTCATTTTGGTTGCAAGTTGTAGGTTGTATAAACTGTGTCGAGGTTTGGGTTGTAAGTAGTTCATAAGGGATATTTTAAATAGTCTTTTAATCAAAGTAGATTCATGGATTTCCTGTCTAAGGTATTATATTGCCTGCAGCATCAGTGCAATTCCAGAGAAGTCTGGCTTGAGATTTTTTCTACCTAATCAAAGGTAGGGGATGAACTTGAGGTTGTAACTTGTAAGTAAGAAACTAGGATTTTTCTTTTTCATCTCATGTAAGCGGATATCCAAAAAATTGATAATGAAACAAAATGGGTCAGTTCCATTCCAAAGAATGAAGGAAACAGAAAATAATCACACAAAAAATATATGTATACAGTTAATGAACTCCTCGGCTTGGCCAACTCTACGGCCCCCTACCACCACCCAAAAATCCCCTCTTCTTTAAGATAAATAGAAATACTACAAGACACATCGAACACTTCTGAAACATATTAAATGACATTATTCCAACTTCGTCGACAAGGGGAAAGTTCACTTTTGAAGACGCCTTAAGACTCACTAATTGAACTACAATGTCATTCTCCTTTACCTCTCAGTAACATGTATCCAACTAACCACTAAATTATGAATCAAACTTGATATTCGACCGACTTAATAGCTTCCCATTGGTGGCACGCCGTAAGATGGCATTGGTGGCATTCCCATTCCTCCCATGGGTTGCGGAGGTGCAAAACCACCTCCCATTCCCGGCATTGGCGGTGTAGGTAGTGCAAGTGGTAGTAACTGAGCATACATGTTCTGCAACACAATCCATTTTAATCGCTTAGAATATGTTGGAACTTGGATCTACATCTAGCCACTCCCGGCGGATGTAGAGAATCTATTTTCAAGAAAACAGTATGTTATGATTACCTGTTGTGCAATCACTTCCTTCTTTTCCTGCTCTTTAGCCTTAACTTCTTTTTTGAGCCTCAATCTTGTCCTTGATAAGTTCATCAACTTTCCCAGTATATTGACGGATGAACTGGAAAAACAGACTCAAATAAGGTTCCAACAATAGTCTCCAAATTAAGAAATATCTTCATGGCTAATAAAAGAATCATGGTAAAGTGAGGCAGTGCGCTAAAAAAACGTCTAGCTAATAAAGCCCCAATCAAATGAAATGATACTGCAAGAAATTACCTGCAACAGATATGGGAATGCGAAATCAATCATATTGTTAATCCAGGCTAGCTCAAGAACACCGTCTGGTCGAATCAAGTCATAACAGACAAAGAGGCATGATGCAAAGCTATCCTTCTTGCCCTGTGCAAAGAACATCAACATTGAAATTACGTCCATTTCAGTGAAGGTACCAGAGAGACCACCACAGAGCAAAAACAGCACACGTTAAAAGCTTCACTTCCATGTCCTACAACTGTGGTACGGTCATTGCCTACTATGATTTTATACTTAAAATTGCACCTTAAGGAACAAGTGGAAGAGAGCAAACTAATCTCATTAGAGGTACTGGTTGCACAAGATGTGAACTCTTACAGTTTATACCTCCAAAGATATAACCATATCACTATAAACCATTTATTACTCGGCATATATTTTTTTACATGTTCATGAATGACTTCTGTACCTGTTCAATGAAGTAAACAAGCAAATCCTCGGTCACCAGATTTTGAAGCTGTTTCCATCGCATCTTTGTAAATCTTGTCCTTCTTTGACAAGGAAATGGGCTGCTTCCATCTGCCCGCCTTTTTGTAAATATATGCAGCGACGCGCCTCATCTCAAGAAGCTCATGTTTCTCAATCTACTCGAGCAATTTAAAAACAGCATCAGAAAGCAACCTAACAACAAACAAGAATGTAAGAATAGTACTTCACCTTCTGTGCAAGGCCAATCTGATCAAAATTATCATGCAAATCAATAGATTCTCTTAATCTATCATAATCTTCTTCCTCAACATAAATCTCATTCAAAGACTCATTCACCGCTGACACATTGTTGCTCTGAACTGCAACCATATATGGCTTCACAAGACGCAGATGACCAGCCTGATATTCAAGAAGGAAATAATTGTCAAACTAAGTGAATTAAAATAAAAGTACAATAAGTTGGTGGTATTTATTTAAATATTTGATCGGCCAAAATTGAACCTTTCTCATAATGTCAACAACACAAGTGTGATCAACACGAAGTGCAAGCACATTTAGCATATCATTGATGAGATCAGGATGTTCTTGCAAGTAGAAGTGGACGGCCTTGTAATATAGCTCAACACTAGCAACTTTGACAATAATATCTAACTGCATGTGATCCCATGATTCAGGAGAGTGGTTCATCACAGTAGTTGCAGCATTATCAAACTCGTCATATTGGATGTATAAATAGGTAAGTTCCTTCCAATGCTATTGCTCATCACAAGCTCTTATCAGCTTGGGAATATTGAGACGAGTAGAGAACAATTTAATGTGCTCCATGAGCTTCTCAGGGCGATATCTGGCATAAAGAACGCCCAACTCGGTGAAAATACCCATGTGTGCACGTTCCAATCCTAAACCACTCTCCATGAGAGAGATCAACTCATTGAAGCATCCTCTATTTTGATAGTATTCACTAACTTCTTCCAGGTCATCCACCTACAGAATCAATAAACACAATGTCAAATCGGCATGAACAAATGACCTCCAACAAACATGAGAGAAGAAGAGGAACTGAATATGCACACGTATGAACCACTTTGCTGTACCCAAAAATTGTAACTCAACTTGAAAGCAAATTTACCTGTACAATAATGTTAAGACCACATATCTGTGCCAGTCGGAATGCTTCTGCATCAACACAAGAAAAGCAAACCTCCTTCAATGTCTTGGCATTGTTGGCTTTTCGTTCCGCGACAACAGCACCCTGGAATTGTTTAAGGCTCACCAGAGTAAAAGCAACTTAGCCCAGTTATATATAAATGCAAACATTATTTTTGCAGCTTCACAAAGGGCTTCATCAAATAAGCGATCACCGACATTTTGAAGATCAGCAACGATTGGCATGAGAATAAATTCTTCAATTTCACACAATCTAACAATCTTTGCATAGGCATAAATGAGCTCACTGTCCACCTTGGGCTCTTTAACCTTCTTCCTAACCATCAGAAGGTACCTCACCAGATCAGGGTAGACATCAGCTTCCTCAGACGCTCGGATAACATCAAGGAACTGAGTAACATCATATGCACGAATAAATGATTCAATTGCATCACTCACCAGCCCCTCCCTCAGCTGTGCCTTAGCCACCTGACTCCAAACGGCATCTTCTTCAACTCGTAATGCATATTCCACAGCCCAGTCGATACTTCTAATGTTATCCAACAATACACTGACAACCTGAACATTTAAGTTAAACTTTTTGAAAATTGCAAAAGCTTCTTCGTATAGTTGGGCCTAATCGGCCACTTCTCCCACTGCAGGTCCATCAAAATTATCTAGCCTATTGATATAGTCCATAACTCTAGGCGGATCTGCCTTAATAGCTGTCAAAATAAGAAGATTTTGCAGATTAAATTTCCCACTGAATGCAGAGTTTTGGACTACAATCTTCTCAAGAAGCTCAATCAGTTCATGGGGCAGGTCAGCCGTCATGAAAGCTTTAACAGCTGCAGAGACTTGTTCTGAACTTTTGCTTTCTGGCAAAGCAGAGACACAACCTGATCAATTAGCTGTCTTCTGTATTCATTTCCGGATTTAGAACCTTCTCCCAAAGATCACCATCCATCCTCTCAACAACATACCTGAGATCAAAGGGTGATATACAGATAAGCCCCTTTAAAACAAAGATCCAAATACATTATAATAAATAAACTAAATAATTACATACCTTGCCTGCAATTTGAATAACGAATTCTTATTTGTGACATTGATGAGTTCAACATCACATTTTCCTCTTCGGTAACCCACAACTGCGAGGGTGGGATCACGTTTCTATCATTTCTTACCAACAACCCCAGAATCATAGTAAGGGTTGGTTATGAGGAAGTTCTCTGGATTGTTATTGCTGTAAATGATGATTTTACCCAGAGCATTGTGGACATGCACATCTTGACTTCCCCCACTTACAAGATGCTCCAAGAACCATGTAAGTAAACGAAGTCGATTTCTGGAAACCACATTCTGAAAATGAGAATCACATGGTAATGATGGGAAGAAACAAGGATGGAAGATGAAGAACAATTCACCTCTTCTCACATTCCTCCACGAGGGGCTCAACTGGAAGCAAAGAACGGACTGAGAGAATGAGACCCTTTATAAAATCTTCAGGTCATTCATCATCTAGCAATTGCCCCACTACTAAAGGTGCATTCCCAGGGTTCACCTATCAAAAGAAGCAAATAAGTTCTCGATAACTTGAGTTTAAATGGAAGCTTGGCCTCCATCAAGAAGTTTTATCTTTTCAGGGTCATAAAAGTTTGATTCCCTAGTCACGTGCTCAACTTCCTTTATTTGTCTAGTTTTAACAGCTGCTTCAATGTGCTTGTAGTGAATATCAGGGTCCTCACTATCCCATAGTCGGAAGTAAACATCATATTTAGTACCTAACAGAAATATTTGCTGTCATGCTGTGAGCAACCGAACAGAGGAACTTTAGTGTTTACTTAGCTTACCTTGAGCTTAAATAAGAGCCCAGGAAAAAGTACAATCCTTCATATGACTTAAATTGCTCAAAAAGTTTTATACAGGCATCAACACCCAACTGCTCACAATACTCCTTGGCAACCTGCAAAGACACATAACTTATCCTTCGGTGTTTCCTAAGCAGTACTAGCATATACCATTATACAACATCTTTTACCTGAACAATTATTTGAAGGTTGGCAGAAGGTCTTTCATGCACTCCAAAGCCCATTCTCGTGAAAGTGTACCAAAAAACTCAACAAGTGACTGAAAACAGTATTATTAAAAAAATGTCGGGTGGTTCCACAGTCTCCAATTTTACCAAGAGATAAAGACGGTGGACAACATGCATCTGAGGCTCAATAGCATGAGTATTCACAATGACACGTTTAATATCTGCCAACTCGGTGTAATGCTGCAAAAATTTGTTACAGGTAATCAAGGAGATATTATTAATACAGTGCAGAAAGTCGCACATAATGCAACAAGTATTAGCCTTAATAAGAATATAAGATAATTACCTGCAGGGCCCGCACATAGAGACCAGCTTTCTCACAAAGTTGTGCAATTCGGGGACGATCATAATGAC